CTGGGCAGAGGCGGTGCGGTCTCTCCATTTATTAGGAAAGGGAGAATCCACGAGGGAGCGTGCCCGCGTCAATGCTCCCGTTGCAGGGAAAGCTTCATTTGGACACGGGCGTGGAGCGAGAGCGAGGCCCCAAGTCCTAGGCAGGCAGACCTCATTAGTTGCCGTGCTCGTGGGATTCGTTTTGACACGTGAGTACGTGGAGCTGCTATGAAATTACATGTTTCCCAGGCAAGGTTTTAATTAGGCGAAGATTTGACTGTGCATTTGAGTTTGTACCAACGGCCCTATTTAGTAAAGGCGCTTTTGCATCCCTGTTTCTTTTCTGTTCTTGGCGGTAGACTCCTTCGGTATGGCAATACAAACTTACAATTCTTTAAAATACACGCTTGTAAACTTTCATTGCGTTCATGCAAATTATTGAAGGAGTACAGGTGCAATAGGAGACAGGGAGGAATGAATCTCATGGAGCCTCTGCCTTTCACAAGGTTCTCAGATACATCTATCAGACCTTTCCTTTCCGTAGCTGTGAAGAACAGATCGCAAGGTCGGTCTGCTGTTACAACTTCTGCTTAATTGCCCCAAGACAATATGCTGCATATCTAATCTAGAATATAAACTTTTATAAATAAAAGTGGACTGAAATACTGAGTATTTTTAGCTTATATTTTTCCTAGACCCTCTGTTTTGTTTTTTATCTTCACCGTAAAAAACCCGGAGGAATGGTGAAAATGGGTATAATGGGCCTTAAGGCCCAAATGAATTTTTCAGACTGTGAAGGGACTTCCCCAGAGCATGTAATTTCACCACCAAACTCTTAATCTTATCAGCAAAATCGAAGACGCGACTACCTTTCCCTTTAGCACGTGGCCCTGTCTACATCTGCTGTAATACCACCCTTTTGAATATCGAGTCCCACTTCAGTGCTTGAGCTGAGACAGAAGATTGTAGATGCAAGTGGAAAATAAATGTAGATTTCCAAAACCAAAACGAGTGAAAGCTTGCTAAGCTCCTGACAAGTGTTCTTCCCTAGTTCAGGAAATGTCCCTTCTTGAAATAACGAAGCAGTTGTCCCTTCTTGAAATAACGACCAGGCCCGGGCAACTCCCTGCAGACACGCTCTTCACAAATATTTAAAAACTCAGTTCCCCGGTGTTTCAGGGAATTTCCTTATGCAATCTGATGCATGCGAGAGACAAATTTCATACTCTGTATTTACTATTTAATACAAATTTATGCCAGGGTTTCTCTTTATAGAGTCTTTGCTTGTACTTTGCTCATAGGACAAGTTCAAACAACCTAGTTTCTGACATAAACAAATCAATAACATTATATACAACCTATTATATTTCAGTTAATAGAATTATATGTGAGATATTGGCTCGTGTATCCTGCAGAAATGGGAAACAACGCAGGAATTTTTCAAGACATGGGAATTAGTGCTAAGCTCTATACGCAATAAATACCCTTTTTAAATTACGCACTGCAGACACAAAGCAGCATTGACACAGAGTCAGTCAGCTATTCTGTAGCTTCCAGATAAATTTACCACAATGACTTCAGGTAGGCCTTCAGCTATACTGATGACAAAAAATACAAGAAATAGATAAAACCAAACCACAAATATTTCACCTTTTTCTTCGGAAGATTTATTCAAATAAAGTCAAACAACCAAATCACGTGACAACTTAAAATAACTGCGTTGCTAGCACAGTTTTGCATTTAGTATTTCCAGAAAAATGTCTTAAATTTAAGAGAATGAAAACAGTCTTTCTTAAAGTTGTATCAAAAAGTAAGAATGGTCTGGCATAAAGAATTTTCAAGTCAGGCCGGTTTTCTCTGAAGATTTGCTGCTCATCAGAGGCAAAAATAAAACGTGTCCGTCCATCTTTTTGAGTAAGAAGTGCTTCCCTTCCAACTGGAAGATCCAACTTAGTAGAAGTTTTAGTACTTCTCTCTTCCAAAATGACCTGGATGAGCTGAAAATTAGAAAGAAACATGGCAATGTTTTGACTGTAGGGACTGCAAATCATTGTTTCTCCCTTCATTGAATAAAAAAAGTATTCTCTCTTCCTTCCTGCTG